TTTATCCCTTAAAAAACACCAAAACAGGGTTAAATGAATGAAATTGATCAAAAATATCTGAAGTCCCACCATTTCATAGGTGTTTGAGGGGAAATTTAGGATTTGGGGACACATTCATTGTGGAGTGTTGCAGATTATAGATAAATATGATTGTTCATAAATAATACAGCTAGGATGAGAACAGTCCTCCCAGCTAGCCGGATGACACCCCTGCCTTCGGATGAATCCTGGGGTCAAGTGGACTGTTCCATCCCACCCCCCAAAATATGTATGGTTCACCCCACACCTCTATCCCTCCTTTCAAACATCAAATGTCTGTAACCCCATTGGCCCGAGCCTTATCCCAACCCACCTAGGAGCCCCTGATAAGGGGGCTTCAAGGGGCCACGCGGTCTCTTGGAACCTTTTCCCCCCTCTTGGAACTTCCTTCCCTCCTGGAACCTCATCCCCTCCCTTGGAGCTTCCCCTCTCCTAAACCCTCCTTTTGTCTCTCCCCTCCCCCACCCTCTCAGGCCCAGCCACGTGCTACGCCTGAGAGCACGAGGCAGGACCTTCCTGCACCCCTAATAAACCTCTTTCCCCAAGAGCAAACTTCAGAGATCTCTGCCTCCATTCATCAACACCATGCTGGAGTATGTTATTTTCTTCAGTGGAGTGCCCAATTGCCCTGGATATTCTGGCAGTCATTGCCAGGCACTCCCAGTACCTCAGCGCAGTTCAGTTGCCCCCAGTTTTATCCCAGCTGATCTCAGTTCCTTTAATTATGTCCCCAGCTGGCTCCCAGCATGGGCCTGGTAGCTCCCAGTAACCCCCAGTCATGGTCCAATGACACTCACTCTAATCCCAGTATGATTGTAGCCAGTCCCAGTAGGACCCCAGTCACTTGCAGTATAATCTCAGTTACTCCCAGGCACTCCCAGTCTGATGCCAGTGCCCCCAGTGTGATCCCAGTTGCTCCCTGTCAATGCCAACATTACTCCAGTAGTCCCAGTACGATCTCAGTAACTCCCTGTCTCTCCCACTTCTTCCCAGTTGCTTTCAGCACCATTCCAGGTGTTCCCAGTCAATCCCAGGAGGATTCCAGTCACCCTCAGTGTGGGAGGGGGTGTGGAAAGTAGCCCCCCAATAATGCCATGGGAAGTAGTTTAAGTCCTTGCCCCCCAAACTGTCAGTCATGTGTTACCGCCCCTTTTCGCAGTATCAATCATTATCTGTATCCCCCTTTTGTTCTGGAAAGTTCTTTGTTCTATGTAACCCCATTGGTTTTTCCCCAGCTGCCACTCCTTCCCCTTACACCCATTGGATGTTCCCCCTGTCTACCTTCGTCCACCCCACTCCCAAGCCCTTCCCCCATTGGACAGTTCATACCCTGACCCTCCTACCCTGGACCAGTTATATGTTTCAGCCCACCCCCTGCGCGGGGCTCTTGAAGCAAGCTCCCTTTCTGTGAGGCTGTCTACCTGTACCCCTTCACTCAGTCCCTGACACTTAGCCCTCAGAGAATAAAGCTACTTCGGAGTCAACCCGCCTTCAGCTGGAGACCTCTTTATTCCACCGTCTCTGCCCCGAGAAATCTCCATCCACTGGAGAACCACGTGGGGACCCAGAGACACCTCAGAGTGATCCCAGTTGCTCCCAGCATGGGCTTTGCTGTTCCCAGTGTGGTTCCATAACTCCACTATGGTTACAGACACTCCCAGTATGGTCCCAGTTGAACCCAGTTGCCCCTGCTATAGTCCCAGACACTCCCCATATGATCCCAGTCTCTCCCAGTATGATCCCACTCACTCCCAGTTGCCCCCAGCATGGTCCCAGTTCTCCCCAACATGGTCCCAGTTTTTCCCAGTGTGGTTCCAGTCCCCCCAGTATGGTTACATGCCACAGTCCTCTGGAGGCCTGAGTAGCTCTGCAATGTTCCGGGGCCAGTGGTAAGAGTGGGGAACTGGCCAGGCTGGGGTTCTGCCTGAGCCAGAACCTCTGAGCCAGATGCCAAGCAGCAGAGACCCCTGGAGGGTCGCTTAGGACCGGGTAAGGAGGCAGGGGAGGCTCTTCTGAGGTGCAAAGTCCAGCAAATTTTTTGGGAGAGATGAGGGAAGGGTACACAGGAGAAGAATGCTCAAAGAGTGCAAAAGAAAAAGAGCATGAGCACCCCTGTGAATGGGTTTCTAAAGTTTTGCTAAATAGGGGGTGGACACAACAATGCAACCACTGAGTAACTTCCAGGGTGTGGCTTTTGGGACTAAAATAAATCAGAGCAAGGGGAAAAAAGAGGCTCTGGCTGAGGATTGGCTCTGAGGTTGAGGGGCAGGGAACATTCTGGAACAAAAGGCAGGGTCCGGGCTGACAGCAAGGGCAAAGGGGCTGGGTTGCTTTGACAGGCAGGGAAAGATCTAGAAGGAAGGGAGAAACCAGCTGAAATAATTTGAGGGACACTGGGACATACCATAAATGACAGACTAGCACACCACAACAGTTACAGACCGTCCTAGTATATCCCAGTTGCCCCCAGCATGTCTGTAGTCATTTCCAGACAGTGCCAGTGGCCCCAGGATGAAGAGAGCCTGATAGAGGAATGGTTGAACGACAAGGGACATGATACTGTAAAATTAATCCAAATAGGGAGGGCTACGTGACTGCTGCAAAGTTCGCATGGCCCTGAAGAATAGATGATGTGCAGAAAGCAGGATATTGAAATTGCTTAGTATGTAGAAGTAGATAGAGAAGAACAAAGGGGGTACTAAGCTGTTCTAACTGCAAGGCCAGCCGGACAGGCATGTATCGATCATAAAGATACTTTTAAGATAATAGTACAAGTCACATAGCAACCAATCATGAGCTTGGCTTTTGCAATATGTATGAGCTAACTAACGAACATATATAAACTGTGAAATCTGTTACAATAAACTGAGACTTGATGATCATGATATCATGAGTCTTGTCTCCCGCGGCATTTCCCTCTAACACCAGGAAGGTATTAGTTATCCCATTATGATCCCCTAGTCATGCCCAGTATATCCCAGTTGCCTCCAGCATGCATCCATACCTTCCCAGTTCTTCCAATTTGCTTGCAGCATGATCCCAGTTTCACTCAGTTGCTCCCAGTAGCCCAAGGTGTGATCCCAGTTGCTTCCTTTCAACCCCAATATGATCCCAGTAAGCTCCAGTTTGATCCTAGACACATGCCAGCACTCCCAGTGTGGTGCCAGTATAATCCCAGTTACTTCCAGTCTCTCCCAGTATGGTCCCAACTGCCTCCAGTATGGTTCCAGTTGCTTCCCAGATCAAGCCAGTCAGCCCCAGTAAATACGTTTTGCTCCCAGCATGCTCCCAGTTGCTCCCAGTCACCCCCAGCATGGGGGATGATGTACAGGGTGTATTCCCTGTTGCCCTCAGATACTCCTGGTATTACTGCAATCACTCCCAGTATGACCCAAATATGACCCCAGTGTGCTCCCAGTTGTGAGGAGCACTGGACTCCAGGACAGTTTGGATGGACGGAGACGAGATCTCTGAAGTCTGGTCTTAGCATATGTGGCTTATTACAACGGGTGAAGTACCCTGCTTGGAGTTACCAGGTGCAACTCGTGGCAGGCCCTAGGGAGTGGGGGCGGGGAGAGGCAAGGGGTAGAGGGTGCTAGAGAGGGTCCCAAGAGGAAGTTCTAAGAGAGTGTCTGGTCCCTTGGACACTCCTTATCAGGGAGCTTCAAGGTGGGCTGGAACAAGACTTAGGCCAATGGGGTCACAGACACCTGATGCTTCAGGGGAAGAGTTACAGATGTGGGATGACCCATACATTGGGGTGAGATCGAACAGTCCATTTGACCTTTGGACCTACCTGTAGGTAAGGGGCATTGTTTAATCAGAAGGGGAGATTGCCTTCAACTGGCTGTACTATTGTTTTCTAGTTGTTCAGTAACTAAGGTTTGGTCTCTCAAACTTGTTACCGTCTCAATCTCTGTATTTTCTAAATCTCTTGCCAGGCAATCATATTTATAAGACTTTCCTATTTCATCTTCTCCAACACCCAGTCATTGCCAGTATGAACCAGTTGTGCTCCACGTGTCCAGTTGCTCTCTTTCACCCTCGCTTTTGTTGCAGTCACTCCCAGTATCTCCCAGTGTACCCCATTTCCCTCCAGCATGTTCCCAGTCACTCCCAGTTCCTTCCAGTATGATCGCATTTGTTCACAGCCATTCCCAGTCAGCCTCAGTGTATTTGCACTCATTGCCAGTATGATCCCAGCAGGATCCCAGTTCGTCCCAGTAAAAGCCCTGTGGTTTCCAATCACCCTGGCATACAGACAGTCACACCCAGCTCCTCCTAGTTGCTCCTGGCATGATCCCAGTTTCTCACAGCTGCTCCCAGTCACCCTCAGCATAATCCCAGTCACTCTCAGTGTATCCCATTTGCTGCTGACATGGTCTCAATTACCCCCTGCAGGCTCCTACTCACACCCAGTGTAATCCCAGTAGAGCCCAGTCCCTCCCAGTGCTGCCACTCCTGGCATCCCCCAGCCCTCTGTGTGTTCCCCCCTCCTGGCTGTCCCAGAGGAGCCCCAAGGGCCAGCAGTGCCCAGGCAGGGTCCCCAGCCAGCCCCAGTTTGGATGTGCAGCCCCCAGTTTTCCCAGTTTGCCTCTCCTTTGGTCCGGGCCGGGTTCCTCCCTGGAACAGCGGCTGGGAGCAGCCGAGAGCCCCGCGCTGCCCATCCCGACCTGTCCCGGCTCCATCCCCGCTCCTGCCGCGGGCTGCCGGGGCTGCGGGAACGGGAACCGAGGGCGCCGCTGCTGCTGGGGGAGGAGGAGGAGGGAGGGAAGGGCAGGGATGAAGGAGGAGCGGGAGATGGGCTTAGGGAGGAGGAGGAGGGAGGGAAGGGGAGGTGAGAGATGAAGGCGGAAAAGCAGGTGGGGTTAGGGCGGAGGAAGAGAAAGAGGAGGACGGATAGAAGGGGAGGAGTGGAGGAGGAGAAGGAGGGATGGAAGGGGAGGGATGGAAGCAGAAGAGAGAGGCTTAGAGAGGAGGAGGAGGGGGAAGGGAAGAAGTGGAAGAGGAAGAGGAGGGACAAAGGCGGATGAAGGAAAGGAGAAGGAAGTGCGCAGTCGTGTCCTCCGTGAATTCGCAGCCCCCACCTGTGGGATCATCGCCCCCCTATCCCGCAGGTGAGCTGGAAGCGGGAGCTCAGCCCAGATATCCAGGGGGTCCCTGGGTTGGGTTTTTTGGGGGGATGTTTGGAGAAGGAAGAACTGCAAAGCTGAGCGGAAAAGGCCCCTCGGGGGGACACTGGGGGGTCCCGGTGGCGGCTGCCGGCAGAGGCAGCCTGGAGGAGCAGAGCCCTGTGTTTCCCAGGAGCCCAAAGTGGGGAGCCAAGAGCCATTGGCGGGACCCCCAAGAGCCTGGAGAGGGGCACGGGGGACTCCTTGGAGCCCCTGCAGCCCAGAGCAGAGAAGAAGGGGAGAAGGGAGCCCGGGAGCCCAAAAGCCCCGGCAGCCCTCAATGGGGAGAGCCAAGAGGGGAGAGCTTTTGGGATTGCTGGGACTCCTGGCAGCCTGGGGAGGGCGGGCAGCGAGGAGAAGGGGGACCCCCAATCCAAGTGTGACCCCCGCAGCTGGGACAGGGGGGAGCCCCGAACAGCAAAGGGGAGGGAGCAGGGATGGAGAACTCCTGGGAGGCATTTTCAGGGCTGAATCTTGGTGTTTGGGAGGTTTTTATGGAGTCCAGGTGGCTGGTGACTTCTAGAGATGGGCTTGGACAGAGGAACCTTCAATGTGCTCATCCCTTGTTTTCCCCTAAAACCAGCATTTCCCTTTCCCAGCCCCTGGGAGGCTGCGAGGAAGAGGAAGAGCCTCTCCTTGTCCTTCCTCCCCCAGGGAAGGATCTGAGGATGGAGAGCATGGAGGACAAATCCCCTTGGCAGAACCTCGTGGAAGAGGCCGTTCTGAGCGGCTCCACGGTGCAGGAATCCAAAAGGGAGGAAAAACCCCAGAGATCCCACATGAGGAGGGGCTGCAAACTCAGATTGCGGGGATCTGAGGAAGAACCATCCACCCTGGGCTGGGAAGGCAGCCAGAGATCAAGCCAGAGCTCACAGCTGGTAGTCCATGAGCAGGCTCATGATGGGGAGAAGCCCCACAAGTGCTCGGAGTGTGGGAAGAGCTTCAGGTCAAGCTCCCACCTGATCAGCCACCAAAGGACCCACACTGGGGAGCGGCCCTACAACTGTGGGGAGTGTGGGAAGAGCTTCCGGTGGAGCTCCGCGCTGACCCTGCACGAGAGAATCCACACTGGGGAGAGGCCCTATGAGTGTGGGGAGTGTGGGATGAGCTTCAGACGGCGCTCCAACCTGATCAGGCACCAGGTGACACACACTGGGGAGAGGCCCTATGAGTGTGGGGAGTGTGGGAAAAGCTTCAGCCAGACCTTCAACCTGAACCAGCACCAGAGGAGCCACACTGGTGAGAGACCCTACAAGTGTGGGGAATGTGGGAAGAGCTTTAGCTACAATTCCACCCTGATCAAACACCAAATGATCCACACTGGAGAGAGGCCCTATCAGTGTTCCGAGTGTGGGAAGGGGTTTAAGACCAGCTCCAATCTCCTCCTGCACTATCGGATTCACACAGAGGAGAGGCCCTTCTGCTGCCCCGACTGCGGGAAGGGATTCACAGACAACTCCATCCTCATCCAGCATCGGCGCATCCACGCCAAGGAGAGGCCCTACGAGTGTGGGGAATGTGGGAAGAGCTTCACACGGAGCTCCCACCTGGTCAGCCACCAGATGATTCACACTAAGGAGAGGCCCTACCAATGTGGGCAATGTGGGAAGAGCTTCAAACTGAGCTCCAGCCTAATCCAGCACCAGAGGACCCACACTGGTGAGAGACCCTACGAGTGTGGAGAATGTGGGAAGAGCTTCAGCCACAATTCCACCCTGATCAGACACCAAATGATCCACACTGGGGAGACACCCTATGAGTGTTCCGAGTGTGGGAAGGGGTTTAGGACCAGCTCCCATCTCATCCTTCACTATCGGGGTCACACGGATGAGAGGCCCTTCTGCTGCCCTGACTGTGGGAAGGGATTCAAGTTCAACTCCACCCTCGTCAGGCACCGGCGCATCCACACTGGGGAGAAGCCCTATGAGTGTCCCCAGTGCAGGAAGAGGTTCTCCAGCAGCTCTCACTTGACCCAACACCAACAGAGTCACCAGTAAGGGAAGCCCTGCAAGTGCCCCAAGTGCGGGAAGAACTTCGTGCGCTGCTCCAATTCCATCCCCCACTGGAGGACCCACATTGGGCAGAGCCCTGGTGACCCACATTCCTTGTGATCCATGTTGGGAAGACACCTGGCTACTTATCCATTTGGTTTGACCTTAATTTTTTTCTCTTCTCAATCCCTCTGCACTCCAAAAGCCAAGAGGGATCAATCTGCCAGTTTAAAACCACTCAAATCCCACTGAAAACAAATGACTTTTAACATAAGGGCTCAATCCCACCTCACATTGCTTGTTCCCTCTCAAAAAAACTCAATCCCATGCTAAACTCACTTGATTTCACAGTTGCTGGATGAGATGGGGATGGGAGGAGATTGGGAGAAGTGGGATCCCAGTTAGGAGTGGTGGGATGAGGATGTTGTGGGGCCGGCTGGGTGGGATGTATTTGATAGCAAATAAAACTTTCTGCAGGAGAAGAGGAGAGCAGGAATCACGTGGCCCTGGCGCTGCCTGAAGTCACTGCAGCCCCAGGACCATTGCCCCCCATCCCACAGGTGCCCAGGGAGGGGGAGCTCAGCCCAAATATCCTGGGGGGTCCCTGTGATAGTAAAAGGGTTTTAAAATAATGGGGATTTGGGGAGTTAGAAGGAAAGTTAGGCTTAGTAGGCCCTGGGAAAGTATAGGCCTTGTACTTGCTAGAACTGCACCTGCATAGCTAGAGTATGATAAATGATACAATTGTTAGATGCGATGATTGTTTAGTAATTAAATATAATTACTGTTTATTCGTAAGAAGAATCATGAAAAACTGTGGTCAGGGGCCTAAGAAAGATCACAGGAAATTCATGCTTGAATAATATCAAAGTATACAATAGAACAATATAAGTTTAATAATTAATATGTAAGCTATATAACGATAGAATATAAAATATGTTCAGCTTGAAAGCCATGTCAGAGTTAGATTTGGGTCTGTACCCCTGATTCCCAGAGCTCTTCAATAAAAGCACCTGCATATAATCATATTCTGTGATTATATGTGTTCCTGAACACCAACACCACAACATCCCACAGCATTCTTTGTCCTGTCATTTTGAGTCCCTCACCCTCCATTTTGGGTCCATTCACCCTGTTTTGAGTACCACATCAAACAACCCAAAATACCCCAAAATTCCTCACCCATGATGCCCACTCCTTTTCCCCTCCTCTGCCCCAAGGCCCCCCTGGCACTTGGCCATAGAGCTGTCTCTGGTGGCATCAAGCTGCAGGATCTGGAGGGTGTCCCCAGCTGCTGCCTCCAGTAGCCCCTGCCATGACAGGTCCTGCATGGTGGCCATGACTGCAACCCCAGAAATTCTTTAGGGATCCCAAAAGTTCATCACAGATTCCAAAAACCCCATGGGAATCCCCTGCGACAGGTCCTGCTTGGTGGCCAGGACTGAAGATCCCAAAAACCCTAAAATACATCAGGGATCCCAAAATCCTGTGTTGGGGACAATCCCAGGATGTCCCACCCCCCTCTCCTCCTGGTATTTTTCGTGTCCCCTCCCACCCTCTCACCGAGGTATCGCTTCTGGGGGTCCCTGGCAAGCTGCACAGCCATGGCCAGGCTGATGCCTGAGGAGCAGTGTGGGCCAGGGGGTGGCCATGGTGTCACTTCCACTTCTCGGGCAAAGGCTTTTAATGGGATCAGCACTCACATGGCACTGGGAGCACTGGGACTGGGGTCATGATGGGGTGGAAAAAGTGGGGGCACACCCTGGGATGTCCCCAAAGCAGGGGGGACAAGGGGGAACCCACCTTCAGCTGCCTGGGGAGGTGGTGGAAAGTTGGGGGCATTCCTGGGGACAGCACAAAGTATGTGGTTGATCCCCCTCCCCTTCACCTGGAAGCCCCCCCTTCCCATCTCAGGGGACTTTGGGGACCCCAAAATTTGACCCCCCCCTCACCTGAGGATCCTAAATTCCTCCACCCCTGACATTTCCAGGGGATTTTGGGGACCCTAAATTTCACCCCCTCCTCATGTGAGGATCCCAAATCTGCCCCTTCCCCACTCCAGGGAACTGTGGGGACATCAAATCTTCCCCTCCCCAAGCAGCCAGAGCGAGCTCCCGGACTGGACACCAGGCATTGGAACCCCCGGGACCGGGCTCCAAGTTCTGTGACTGAGCACCAGGAACCCACCAAGGACCCCGAGAAAGGGCTCTAAGCTCTGGCACCAAGTGCCTGGGACCCCCACCCCGGACCTCCTGGAGATCCCTTGGGCTTCCCTCCAAGCACCAACACCAGATCCCAGACTCACCAGGGAACCCTGACCCAGGCTTTCTGCTCCAGTGTTGAGCACTGAAGACCCCCGAGATCCCCCCAGGACTCCTTCCATGGCCCTGGGATGTGCCTCCTGAGGCCCTGGGCTCCATGCCATGGTTCCGAACCCTGTGGAAGAGTCTCCACTCACACCCACAATCCAGAAGTCATCCCCAGGGAGGGGAATTTGGCATCCCCAGAGATCCTTTCAGGGTGGAAAGGGGAAGGTTTGGGGTCCCTAGAGACCCCTGGCAAAGGTCAACTAGGGGGTCCTGGGTGGATTTCAAGGGTCCTGAGGGTTTTTGGGGGTGGGATCCCAAACCTTCAGGTGAGTCCTCAAAACTTCAGGGGTGTCTCCAAATGCCAGGTGAGCAATTGATCCCTGGAGCAATTCCCTGAAGCTTTGGGGGAGATCTGAAAACTGGGGGGTGTCCCCAAGCCCCCGGCCCAACCATGGGCGGTTCAAGGGGCTTCCCAAAAATCACTGTGCAAGAACCACTCTATTATTTTCATAACCCCACCCACCCCTCCAATAAATCACAGCATAGAATGGAATTTTATTTGCATAACCCTGACAACAGGATTTCAAAATTCCCATTAAAAACATTTGCATAACCATGCCCACAATTGCACACAAAGTCTTTGTTCATTTCACACAGGGAGAGGAGTCCCCCTTGTTTTTTTCATAACCCCACCCACCCCTCCAATAAATCACAGCATAGAATGGAATTTTATTTGCATAACCCTTGTTAGAGGGAATGCCGCGGGAGACAAGACTCATGATATCATGATCATCAAGTCTCAGTTTATTGT